GTGACGTGTACATTCACACGCATGTAATGATGTGTATATTCACAGGCATGTAGTGACGTGTATATTCACAGGCATGTAGTGAACATTATATTCACAGGCATGTAGTGAACGTGTACATTCACAGGCATGTAGTGAACTGTATATTCACAGGCATGTAGTGATGTGTACATTCACAGGCATGTAGTGAACTGTATATTCACAGGCATGTGGAAGAAGATGCAGGCAGGGTTTGGTTTCCCCACTTTGGTAATGTGGCTGCTGAGGTGAGGGTCAGGTCTCAGTCTGACCTGACGATTGGAGTTCCCAACAACTTCCCTGGCCTCAACGGCTGCTGATGGCTGTCCCTTTTAGTCTTTTGTTTCATTAGGATGACAAATAATATTTTTTTAAAAAAATTAAATTTCTTCTGTATTTTTCTTATATGAAGGAGTATTATCATCATTGAATACTAGATACTAAAATATAGTCTATCTGGAAAAGGCAAATAAATGCTTAATTTATGTCCTTTACTCATTTTTAGGGTAATAAATCAGTGCATTATCAGGATTCAAGGATGGTGTAGAAGCCTTTTTCTCCTTGTTTTCGCTTTGAATATCATTCTGAATCAAGCATTGTTAGGTATTTGAATTTTTAGCACATTGTAGTTACACTTTTTGATATCTCATTCTGTATCTGGCCACTAATCTTTTAAAAATCCCACCCTGGTTCCTGTTTTCCAGATGTCTGAGTATAAAGCAGATCAGTGGCTTATTGTGTGTTAGAAAGTAAGAATGCAGTGTCTGAATTCATGTGTTGCTGCCCCAGCAGCATCAGAGGAGATATATAATGATTAAAGTAGAAAAGAAGCAAGATCTCTGATAAGAAATTCCAAGCCTCTACCTTAAGACATTCTAAAGGAAGAACTAGACAGATTTCAGTATGGCTAACTACAGAAAACAATGGAGAAGAGTCCATGAAGCCCGCAGTTGGTTCCTTGTAAATGTAGATAGCATTTAGTGAGAATAGCAAGGGTCTAACTTTCTTCTACATGCTGCTCTATCTATCTCACCCTCCATGCTAAATCTGTATACCTCATGTGTACCACTGGGTAGCGCTGGAACTCTTTTGCTTTGAATCCCATGAATCCATGAATTGAAGGCCCTGAGGTCTGTGGACTTCTGAGGCTGCTGAGGGTCACGGTGGGATGCTGTGCTTCATCTACCAAATGCTGGTTCCCTGAGTTCTTGCCTGGAATCCTCCAGATACATTGTTGACTCACTTGAAATGAAGGTATTCCATTGCTCAGACTCCCATTGTCTCATGTCTGCCCTAATGCAGACAGGTTAAGAGGTAGTGTCCCTGAGTAGGTAGGTCCTTGAGTAGGTAGTGTTCTTGAGTAGTGTCCTTAGTAGGTAGGTCTTTAAGTAGGTAAGTCCTTGAGTAAGTAATGTCCTTGAGTAGGTAGGTCTTTGAGTAGGTAGGGCTGTAGACATCAGATTATAGAAAATGGATTTTTAGTCTTCTGCAACCCTTAAGATGGAGAATCAGAATCTCAGGGAGAATTGAAGTAGGATAGAAGGACAGGGAAAATTATGAGGACATGAAGGGAAAGGAGTCTTTCATGGTGATTGCTAGGCTAAAGGCTGTAGGTGTCCAGCCCTACGAAGGGCAGGCACAAAGCCTGAGCTGTTTCCTCCAATTGGAAAACAAGCTGAGACCCACGGTCTCAGTTGTGTCTATTCTGCTGAGTGCCCCCCAATCCTCATACTTTAGTCTGTGTTGAGATATTATTAGCCCCCTTCCCTGACCCCAGAAAAGATTGACAAGAAGAAAAAAAGAGAAGCCACTGACTACTGATACAAGGAACAAAAGGAACTATGTCATTACAGACTAGGTGTCTTTGAAAGGATTAATAATAGGAAGGTTGCAAACAGTTTTCAAGAGCTTAGGTGAGATGAGCCACATCCCCGAAGTCCACAAACATTCAGAAACTCTCCAGCAATGAAGTAAGTGTCGTAGGAATGGTCATATAGCTGTTAAAGACTGGAGTGTATGGTTAAACACTTCAAGAGATAGCTCTCTTGGGCTAGAGTTGTTTCACTACTGAATTTCTCCAAATATGTAAAGAAGAAAATTCATCAATCATAATCATTGCCAGAGAATGGAAGGGAAAACTTGTCAATTTATTGCATAAAGTCACCATTACTATTTCCAAAGCAAGACAGACAGTAAAAAAACAAACAAACAAAAAACTATAAGCTGATATCTATGGCAAGATGTAACTCTCCTCAACAGAACAACAAATTGAATTCAGCCAGGCATGAAGAGAACAATACACCATGACACCATGCAGCTTATCTGGCTGGTGCAGTATTTGAAAGTAAAGCAGTGTATTAACCTACGGTGTTAACAGTCTGGGAACAGATCACATGATCATATCAATAACTATCTCACTTCTGAAAACAAAAACAACCCACCATCCTCCTTACCCCCAACCCATACACATTCACACAAAGTAGAAAGTACAGCTGCTGAAAGGCCACCAGTATGGTTGATGGGAAGACAGAATTAGAGAGAGGTTAGGAGGATTAAGTCACAGTGGTGTACCCTCAGTCCCAGCTGCCGGCACGCTGAGGATCACTTGAGCCCAGGTGGTCAAGGCAAGCATGGGCTAGGTGGTCAGACTTGTCTGTGAAAGAAAGATGGGGAAGCGGGATGGAGGGGATGGGGGGTTGATGAGCCATGAAAAGAACAAAAGAAGAAGGGAGGGAGGAAGGGGAGGAGAAAGGGAAAGGAAGAAGGAAAGGAAAGAGAAAAGGAAAAAGGCAGCAGGGTGGAGTGCTTGTTGGAGGTTGCAGTCAGTGAATTAAAGCAAATAAAGGTTCAGAATTGAGACAGAAAGACTAAAATGGCCCTAACTTCATTTGCTGTGTGTTCCTTTGCTCATAGCCACCTTACCTTTGAGGAACAGTGCAATGAAGATGGCTTTCCACAAGTTCACCTTCATGTATGCAGTAGCTGTACCTGTAGACCTTGTGTTTTTTTCTTTCATTATATTTATGTAACTTTCTGATTTTCCTTTCCCCTCATTGATGCTGCAAGGTTCCTGTGTCTACCCATTGTCTGTACTACTGTTATAGGTGCCTGTTAAAGACAGGGCTTATGAGGTAACTGGCTGAAGTCCAGGTGGCTATTTGCAGTGTTCCATGTCACGGGGGCTCTTACAACCTGCTCTTTTTGAGGACCTGGCCAATATTAGTGCATTAGCATTCACAAATAAAGGCTCAAGAGTACGATCCCCTACAGACAGCAACAGGGCAGAACTCCCAGTGTGACAATTAAAAAACACTCCATCTTCATTTCAAGAGCTAATTGTCTCCCTTACAAAAATGACTTCCAAAACCATCTGATCAGTCACTCAAGGGTTGTCTGGCCTGGAGGACAAGCACTTCCAGAGGGTTGGCTTTCTGTTAATCACCTTTGAGGTCTGAGACAAGCTTCAAATGTGCTGCTTGAATTTACAGTTGACCCAAAGCCACAGTCTCAAGGCACAGTCAAATTCAGAATGGTTTTGATCATTGGAAAATGTTTTCTTTAAAGAGCATAATTAAAGGTGATGTAAATGTTCTAATGAGAAACAGGATGTAGATAAAATACACCGGGGAAAGGGAGTGGTCTAGGTGGCAGTGGCCCCTTCCCCGTGCTGGGGTTTTGTCTGCCCTGCCACTCTGTTCCACCATCTCCTGCCCACGTAGTGCCCCTCTCTGATTTCTATCCTAGTGGGGTTTGTTTGTGGACTTAAACTGATGCTTACACCCAGCTCCTCCATGTCCTGGCCTGATGATGCCCACCATGTTTCTCTTGCAACCCCCACGCCATTGTGCTAGCACTGTGCTGGTCAGCACCTCCCTTTTTAGTCTAACACATACTTGCAGTGATGGTGAAAGATTTGTCTGAATTACAGTGGACCTCAAGCTGAATAGTGGATTTCGCTGTTATCTGGGAGAAGAGGTGGACGACTAAAAACCACTGTGTCTTTTGTGACCAGATGTAGGTCTTTTATTTTACCACAAAACAATGGTAAAAACAGTTGGCTCTTCACCTGCACCAGGAACCAACTCGAACATCCTACATTCATTCCTAGCTTATTCCGTGCCCTCTGCAGTCCCAAGAGGAAGTTGGGGTAATCTATTACGGAGGTGAAGTTGGCAGGAGGTTAGGCCAGTTGCCCAACGTGACATTTGCAGGTCTGAGGCAAGGCCTGAAGTCTGGTCCTGCTAGGCAAGTTCTGTGCACTGCCTGTCATTGCAGCTGATACCCAGAACCTACCTACCACAGTCAGGCCGGAAGGAACCAGAGAGCCCCTAACTAACACTGCATCTTGACGTGGGGGGCAAATGGCCCTTGTTAGGAAGGCAAAAGAGTTTGGCTTGTACATTTGAGGACATTTAGAGAGAGGAGGAGAAGTTCATAAGTTGATCAGGTTTTAAACTCTGGAAAGAATATTGTGGAGAAAGTCATGAGTATTCTGTATCAGCTGACTAAGTGGGGAGACACACACTAAAGCCTGGTAAGGGTGCTTATGCTGGAGGAGGCGGATCTTGCCAGCAGGGCTGAGCAGAGCAGCTGAAGCTGGGACGGTCCAGGAGATCAGTCTCAGTGACTTCTGGCCCAGCTCTGTGGGTCAGCTGATTTGGGACTCAACTCATACACAAGCTCTGCTGTTCCCTGAAATAACAGTATGACTTTGTAGCTGAGGACAGTAGGGTACAGGAGCCATAGGCTGGCAGGTACTGCCACAGGACCGAATAGAGAGGGACAGTCCAGAGATGAGTTTCAGAGCCAGGTCTCCTGACACCATGTTGGAGTATCTGCTCCATTTTAAATGGGAGAAGGTGAAGAGGAGAGAGCTTTACACCACAGCAGAGAATTTCCTTGCCAATTGGTCCCTGTTTTGTGAGGGTAGGTCACTGTAGGTATGGAGGTGGCTGGACTCACCACACACCCTTTTCTTTGTGTAGTATGAGCCCAGAGGACCTGGTCGGCCCTTGTACCAAAGAAGAATTTCATCTAGCTCAGCCCAGCCTTGTGTGGAAGAGGCAAGCACTCCTCAAGGCAGCCTGGCTCAGGGCAAAGAACTACAGGACCACAGCCGCCCACCTGCTTTCAGCTACCCAGCCCCTGAGTCCTGGGCCAACACCACCTCGTCTGCCCCCTACCAGAACATTCCGTGCAATGGACCCAGCAGGACAGCTCAGCCCAGAGAGTTGATAGGTAAGATGAATGGGTGAGTTTCCAGAAAGCAGTGATTTCGACTCCTCAAAGCCTGGATATTTATTGGCTGTTTCCTGTCAGTCCTGTCCTCAAAAGCCATTGTGTACTTGCAAGGATACATGAGACTCTCTCTCTCTCTCTCTCTCTCTCTCTCTCTCTCTCTCTCTCTCTCTCTCCTCTCCTCTCCTCTCCTCTCCTCTCCTCTCCTCTCCTCTCCTTCCGTCCCTCCTTCCTCTCCCTCTCCCTCCCCCCTTGTTCGTTCGTTCGTTCATTCGTGTGTGTGTGTGTGTGTGTGTGTGTGTGTTGTCTGTCTGTCTGTCTGTCTGTCTGTCTGTCTGTCTGTCTGTATCTCCTCCCTCTCTCACACTCAATATAGTGTTACTTAAATTTTAAGATTAGAAACAAAAGCTATGTGTTGATGGACAATAACATTGCTTAGGAAGGCTGGGACCAAGTTTTGAAGACTTTGAAAGTCAGTTGGTGGAAATGTGATGTTTCTTTCCTCCCATTATTCCATGTTCACTTAGGTAAGCTAGGTATGTTGGTGTACACCTGGACCTCCAGCACTGAGCAGGCCAAGAGTTCAAAACCAGCCTGAGCTACATTCTGAGATCTTGTTTGAAAAAACTAAAACATTTCAGAGTAAATGTGTGTCACAAGAAATGGGAGTGACTGTATGTAACAGGTGGACCCTGGTGCCACTGGACCAGATCTAAGAGTAGAGTGTGCACAGCACATCTCTGCTGATACAGACATGTTCTGGTTCACAGTAGTCCAACCACCCCAGGCAGATAAGTCAGCACCCCTTCCTTCCAGCCGCATTGGCATTGGTTTCTGTGTATTCTCTGCTCCAGTGGGCATGAGTGCTCTTTCTGGGTGACTGTTCAGGACAGGGGTTTAATGCGTGGTTTCACATCCTGTGGGTGAAGTTATGTGTGCTTGGACTTGGGCTTTGGCTAAACTGCCCCTGCATTCCCGGAGATGGAATAACCCGTGCACAGGCGCGCCCCTGCTCCTCTGGTTAAACCCTGTCGCTGTTGTCTGTTCCCAGCGCCACCCAAGACTGTCAAGCCCGCTGAGGATCAGCTGAAGCCCGACAGCTCGGAGGTGTCCAGTTCCTTCAACTACACGGTGCTGCAGCACCTCGGCCAGTTCCCACCCCTCATGCCCAACAAGCAGATCGCAGAGTCGGCCAACAGCAGCAGCCAGCAGAGCCCAGCAGGGAGCAAGCCTGCGATGTCCTATGCCAGTGCGCTGCGGGCCCCGCCCAAGCCCAGGCCACCACCCGAGCAGGCCAAAAAGGGCAGCGACCCGCTGTCCCTGTTTCAGGAGCTCAGCCTGGGCAGCAGCCCGGGCAGCAACGGCTTCTACTCCTACTTCAAGTGACCGGGCTCTTGGAGTGTTCAGTTCCTGTTTATCAGTAGGGTTGAGGTGGCAGGCTCCTCTGTGTGCAGCCTCTGCGAAATGTTGACCGCGCTCTCACTCAGTCCCCTTGCTGCTAGACCTGCGCCTAAGTTTAAAAGTATATTCCATTATTTTGCATTTTTGATGTGAGTCAGAACTTTGACAGCTTTTATGTAGAATAAAAATATTTTTAAATTTGTGTATTGTTACATATGTTTGCATCAAGCTAGCAGCTAAGAGGTTAATTGTGCAACTATAAAAAAAAGAAAAAAAGTTTGTCTAAAATGTATTTAAAAAGGAAAAAAGTTAAGTAGCATTTACATTTATTCAATAATATTACCACATGCTGGGTTTCTGTACCAGAAATGGCCAGTTGATGTACAAATGTATGTTATTTTTGCTTAAATTCATTTAAAAATTTTTTTAAATAAAAGGGCAGCATCTTCTAAATACTTTATCAGCTTTTTTTTTTTGTTTTGTTTTTTTGTTTTTGTTTTTTTGGTGACAGGATGCTGCGTTCTAAAACTTTGAGAGTTTTAGCCTATCTGTGACATGCTGTTCTCTCCATCAGCAGGGGTAGAGATCACGGACTTCCTTGCCCGTGTATTCTGTATGCCACTGGGTTTTGAAATGTGAAAAAGAAAAGAAAACAAAACAAAACAAAAAAAACACCCCAAAACCCAGTGGCATAATTAGTTGGTTTTTTTTGTTTTTGTTTTGTTTTGTTTTTTTTTTTTGAAAAGCAACACATTCAGCTTATTTTTAATGTTAATTTGATAGTGTGTGTTTTTGTTTTTTTTTTTGTTTGTTTTTTGTTTTTTAAACAAATCATGAAGCTGAAAAATTTTTAGGATTGTTGGTGCTTAGTAGACTTGATAACTATTTTAAAACTGCGTGAGTTTAGTGGAAAAAAAAAAAAACTTCTTTCTCATTCTGCATGTGTAAGTGTTTGTAGCCTAGCCCCTTCTCCAGGGCAGCAAGAACTGTGCCGACTAAAAGTTTGGGTTTCTTTTCCTCCAGTGAAAATTTTGGTACCTTATTTGATGTTTACATTAAGATATGACATTACACATGGCAATTCTAAGATTTTTCTAGTTGTTCTGTTTGAGAAAGATCATTAAAGAAAAAAACAATGTCCAAAAGTCGATCAAATCTGGGGCATGTTTCATATCTTTTGATTCTTCTGAAATTCCCCCTTGAACTCATGAAAAATATGAAATTTCAACAACTGTCTACAGTAGTCTGCAGCCGGACAGTTGTTTTGAATGAACATTGAGAGGGAAGAAGAGGCTATCCTTCTCTTCAGTTCTTTAATGCGTTTGAAGTAATGAATGTCCTTGGTGTTCCTGATCCAGTAGCTATGATTTTATATTTCAGAGGTATCTTGAGACTACAATATATTTTTTTCTTTTTAGATTAAGATGAGGCCAGGGGATGTTTCAGAAGAGCCCAACCTTCCCAATGATCATTGAAGCATAGTTTTCTGGAAGACTGTTTTGATAGAACATTTAAAACTGGTTGACGGTGACAAGGGGAAGGTAGAATTACTTCTATCTCTATGACTAGGGGTTAGTTTTTGGCGGCCATCTATGGCTTCCTGTAACCCCCAGACAATGCAGGATAGAAGGCTGGGTTGGTTAAGGGCTAGCCAACTCTAGGACCAATGTTGCAGCCTCTCTTAAGTCAATTCCACCTTTGTGCTCAGGGCTGAGCGATGGGTACCTGACCTCCTGTCTCAGGCTGAACACCTCTTTTGGGGTTGCAGATGTGGACCCACAAACTAGAGAGGTGTTCCTGGATAGTACAGATCACAGCAGGGAAGTGGATCCAGTGAGCCAGGGCATCCATCACTCTCTCTGCTTGATGTGACATCCCCACATATTGCTGGGCATGTTTAGGTTGAACAAGACAACTTTTGCCCCAGGGCTCTGTGTATTTCTAACTCTGTGCCCAAACAAGACCCAGGACTCCCCCATGATGAGACTGTGTGTTCCATCACTGATAGCCCCCACCCTCACACATGCAGACACACAGGACAGCAGTACATGCTGGGCAAGTGTTGAGAGCCATTTTGCTAATTCAGGCAGAACTATACCGTCCGCTTTCGGTTCCTCTCTCATCAGCGGATTATTGCCTAGTTTCTGTTTCTCATACTTGAACCTTTAAAAAAATAACAGTTTTTAAATTATTTATATTTAGTTAAAGTGACATGTGCTGTGTCCTATCATTTTATATAAAAATACCGATGGTGGGACACCTTGGATGAGGAACCTATCGGGTTGCAGTGACATTCTCAAAGCGGTTATTTCTAAGAAATGACACTAGCTACTTACTTACTAGGTGACTGCTCTGTTGTGAGTGTCTGAGTGTTCCCATTTCTCTTGTGTCCATGTTTTCATGTTCTTCATACAGTGCTTATTTGAACCTGGTTTCCTCCTTCCCAGCGTTACTCCTGTCTTCCTGTCCAGGCTCGAAGGAGTCTGTACTTATGCCCAGCATCTTGTACCAGTGTTCAGCAGATCTTACCAGAAGGACCACTGTGAGTTCTCACTGCTGCTCTTTGCTGTTACTCGGGTAGTATTAGCAGGGTTAGTCAGTGTCATGAAAATACCTTATTTCATTCATTAGTTGCAATTTTTTAGAGCTCAGATGGAGCATACATACGTGTGTGTGTGTGTGTGTGTGTGTGTGTGTGTGTGTGTATTTATGTGTTCGTTTACATACATAAGCACACTTTTTTTTTTTTTTTAAGAAAACTTGATAGCTCTGTGAACTTGATGCTCTGTGATGCCCTTTTGTTCTGGGCAGATTCTGAGGCTGTTTTATGATTTCTTTCATTTCTTTGTTCTTTTTTATCAGTGGAGTTTCCTTGTCCTTGCCAATTCTGTTGTTAGTCATTTCACTACAACTTGAGGTATTTCTTTTCCCTCTCTCCATTCTTTCCTTCGTCTTTTTCCCTTTCACTCTTTTAGGTGATAATTTATAGAGTATTCATGCTAAGTTTGGTTCCCCTTCCCCTCTTGATCTAAGAATGAATTCTTGTTGAAATTTGAACAACCTCATTCATTGTATCATGGATATTTTCTGGTGTGTTTTTCAAAGAAGTCAATTCTAGCTCGGCCATTGCTAATCATAAAGTCTTGTCCTTGATCAGTCATTAAATAATCAGTTTGACCATTCAAACTAATGACCTCAGCCTTCCTGTCTTCACACAGACATGCTTTCTGTGTGGACCAACTTGTATAAAGAAAACATCTAACTATGTGGTTATTTTTTTCTTTTGTTTCATTCTAATCAAGATTGTAGGACAAGTTCAGATTTGGTCTAAGCATCAACTGATCTCTTCTGTTCAGAGAATTGCAGGGTAAGTAAAATCAGCAAGAATCTTGTGGAATAAGCATTACCCAATTAAACAGAGCAGCCTCTAAAGCCTATTTATGAACGAGGTTTCCTTGTTTCTGAAGGCATTGCAGTCCTGGGGACGCTAGCCGTCTTTTTAACCTTGAGTTCGTATGTTGTGTTGTGTTGCCTAGTGTAGTTGATGGCTCTGTTTGATATGTTTCATTTTGAGAGCAGAATTGAAAACATAAAAGAATGTATCTCTAGTCAGGGTGTGAAAATTTTAGGTTAAATCTGAGCATTTCAACTATTGTCATGGAAAAAGTTGGATTTCCTAAAATAGTTGATTTTTAGGAGATGCCCATGTGTGAATCATTGCATAGTGGAGAGTTTTGCTATTAGAAAAGTTCTATAAAAATACATGATTAAAACTTCCCATATAGTAAAACATACATTATTTAGGCTGTTCATCCCTTCCTGCCCACTTCTCCACTTCCTCAAAGTTAAGCTTGTCTTTTCTTATTAAGTAGACATTTTTCGTGCCTACCCCTCAACATATGAAAGCCCTGCTTCTACTGTTTCCCCGTGTGTCTTCTTGCTTCTGGGTGCAAATGTCTTGGTAGATCTGACTTGTCATCTGATCGATATTCAAACTGCCCATCGATGAGAAGAAAGTGAGTGATGTTTTAGCTTGTGCTTCTTCAGAATATGACTTCGAGTGTCCCCCACATCACGTCCCCCGGTCACCAGAGCACTTGCTACATACAGTAGGCATCTTCCCATCTCCCTCTGAGACAATGAAGCTGCCAAGTTCACACTTGCCAGTTTCATCCCTGTTAAATTAGCAATCCCAAAAACCCTGGAAGGAGGGGATTTTTACTAGGGCTTAACATTCTAATAAGATACCAGAAAGTGGCAGCATGCCATCACCTCTAAGCTAGAATATCAGGTTTAACAGTTGTGTGTGTGTGTGTGTTTTTTTTTTTTTTTTTAAGTTTTAGTGTAACATTCAGACATTTGAACCTACTGAAAATACCTACTTTAGAGTGATCTTTAAAGAAACCTCATTGTTTTAAAAAAATGTTTTGTAAGGGAGGTTCCTAATAGAATCTAGACTTAGGCTTGTAAGCTGAGGTTAAGCAGCCCATTTATACAGTGGTAGCCTGAGGTTTTCTGAAATGAGTTTCAAGAGAAAGCCCGTGTGTCTTGTAGTTTCAGTCATCAGAGTGGTAGACCAGACTTTACTTGCAATTTGTTCAACAGAGAGATTTTATTTTGATACAAATATTAAACATAAAGCATAGTAAGTTTTATATAATTCTATAAGTTCATTAAACAATATGAGATTTTCAGTATGTTTTGGGGGTCTTTTGGCTATTTCTACCTCATCTGAGGTCTCTTCTGTACTTTATTTAGCATACTAGCATGTGTTGCCTGCCTTAGAATGACGTATGGGAGGGGAAATCAATATTACCTTTGAAGAAAATTTTGATTTTTATGGAATAATTGTTTTACTATTTTAATGTTTGAAACTGAAGGTGGAAAGGGTGGCAGATTATATACAGTGATAGCTATTTACAAATCTATCATATTTTAAGATTTTAGAATTCTGAGCAAGATCAAGCAAAAAAAGAAAAAAAAGGAAAGAAAAAAAAGTTAATGTGAAGCTGAAGCCAGCCTCAGCTTTCTTTCCCTGGACGGGTTGTTGAAAGACAGATCGCTGTTCCCACCCCCAGGGTGGCCACCACAGCTGTCCAGGGAGCGCACTTTGAAGACTGCTGGTCTAGAGAAAGTTGGAGGTTTTTCATTGCTTTACTCTTGGGTCATTTTAATCATTCTGACACAAAGAAGTGACCCATTCGTGGACAAAGCTCTCTCTACCTTTGGGGTCTCTGCCGTTTCTCCTCATTAGGGTGCAGGGGCGCTTTCATTTCTAGGGTGAGTTTGTGGTTAGGGACGCAGCTGCCTGGCTGTCGTCTGGAAGCTGTGCATTTGTGGGATATGCCTAGTCCCTCCACTTGGAGACAGGATTGTGGAAAGAAGCCATTGGTTGCCCCGAAGAGTGCGTTTGCACTTACTGAGGCTCTTAGTGCAGGAGTCCCTGTCCTAGAGTGGCAGTGACATGGAGCATCAGAAACATTGGATAGTCTTCAAATAATGGAGTCTATAGCTTTCAATCTTTTTCTTCTTCTTTGATATGCGTGTTGGGGGTGAGGGCAAAGAATTTCCTTTCATATTGTATGTTTCTCAGGTTAACAAAGTTATTTTGGGTTCTCTGCCATGCCAGCAGGTGTTAGGGAGAGCATGAGTGTTGTATGTGGCAGAAAAGAAGCAGTTGTTTCCAATTCCCTTACTACCTTGAAGAACTCTGTATGTTTGCAGAAGAGTTGAGGGGAACACACCACCTCCACAGCATGAGTGACTCCTAAGTCATAGCAGACACAGATGAGCAAGTTATTTTTGAGAAACTGCCTACAACAGAATAAACCTGACAGGTCTATGGATAGTTTTACATGTGTGTGTTGTGTTTAATGTTCAGCCTGGGCTGCAGTTCTGCAGGTGTTGGGCTCTGCTTCTCATTTTTAGTTTGGCTTTGAATTTACTGATACTAGCAAGAAAACCAATCTATGTTTAAGGTAATAGAATGTAGAGTGGCGTAGGCGTAGAAGTATAATCCACAGTGGCCATCCTAGAATGCACAGTTTTAGAATTCTTAGCCCCCAGTACTTACTACATGAAAGGCCCCAGAAGCTTTAGCTGTGCATTGCTGGTGTGTCCAGCACAGCTATCTCTATGCACCCCCAGCTTCTAAGGGACTTTGGTTTATTTGCGATTTGCCTTGCATGATACCACTCTGTATCTTTTGGGAGGTCAGAGGACTCTTTTGTCCAGGTTAAAGTTCCAAAGTGTCAGTTATACTTGAGACTGTTTCTCAGCAACACCTTTCCCACACATTCATATGAAGCGTCCTGGATTTTCATGTACCAGGACCACACCTGCTCCTATAAATCCGTGTATATGACATTCTGTACGTCAAGTACTGTATCTTGTTTCCGTGTCAGCCACCTGACCTGATTCTCTGAAACCCATAAAGGTACTGGTTATATGTACTAGTTGCAGGGGAATAGATGGTTCAAATACTTTCTCTAAATTATAAAGCTAATGGGGTTTGCATTATAGTAAAGGTCCTAATTGTTAATGACACAGGCTCTTTTTAATGTTTTAAAAAATAAAATTCTCTAAATGTGGTCAGCGGTGGATAGGAACTGCCACATAGTAGACTCATTGTGGGTCTTGTATGGGAAACCTTCACAAGGGAGGGCATATAAAACCACCCTGGTCCGTTTATCTTACAAGCACCACTTATTTGCATCTAATTAAGCATCATCTATGGCAAAAGTAATAACAATGACTGTGTTCCTCTGCAGTTTATCATACCTCATCTGGGAGGCCCTAATACCTAAAGAGTTTATTCTTCAAAGTAAAGATGATTTTGTATCATAAGATAACCCCAGAGCTACCCTCCAAGGCTTTTCTTTTCTCCTTTCTTCGTCCTTCCTAACTTGGTTTTGGGGTCCCCTTAGCTCATGCTACTTCCTTAGGACATGTTTTGAGTCCGGGAGTCTACAGTGTGATCATTGTCAGTGAAGTTCTTTTGTTTTAAAAGATTCATGGTAACACAAAATGTATTTTACTGCTACAACTAAAATGTATTTATAATAAAATGCCTTTTTAATAATTCAGAGTGTTTATTCTGTGTGGACTTTTCATTCTTTTCCCTCCAAGCTTAGAAGTGTTGGCGCACTTTGATACTTTGATTTAGCTCATCACAGAAATGGTAGAGCTCGTGGGAGGGAGAGCCCAGTGTCAAGAATTAAGGTTGTGACTTTACAGAGAGAGAGAGAGGGTGGTGTTCTCTAGATCAGAACTTACTTATTTCTTTTTAGTAAATGTTCTGATTACTCTTAACAAGTCAGTAGTCATTGATACTAGGCTTGTGTGGCTGGAAATTGAAGAACTCATCAATCTAATATACACTGATGTATTAAAATAGGACTAGTTCTACACCTCACAATTACACAGAGGGTTGCCCCAAATCCATCTTGTCTCTGTTGGAGAAATGTTTGTCTGCAATGATGCAGCTTTGAGAAGCACTGGAGGGTCACAGGCTGCTCCCGTGTCTCATTTTCTATTTAATGCCCCATTAATGTGGTGCCACTAGTCCAGCTTGAATACACCGTGCTTCCGGGCTGCTATTGTGAATGACGTAGCTGGCCTTTTCCAGGGACGACAGCTTATAATTCATCGAACTATCTATTTTGTTAATTTTTTTTAGATTTTGTGTGTGTGTGTGTGTGTGTGTGTGTGTGTGTGTGTGAGTGTTTTGACTGCATTGTATGTCTGCCGTATGTGTGTGTTGGTGTCTGTGGATGTCAGAAGAGAGTATGGGATCCCTTGGGAGTGGTGTTATGGATGGCTGTGAATCACCATGTGGGTACTGGGATCTGAACCCCAGTCCTCTGCAAGAGCAGCCAGTGCTCTCACCACTGGCTCCTCCATTGCAGACAGACATTTTGCCTTGTGTTGACTAGTCAGGATGGACACCCATCTCTGGGTTTTAAAAAGAAAAATGCTTTCTTCCATGTAAGTGTGGTGGATCCAGAGGTTCCTGGAGTTGTGCTCTCTGCTCTGCAGAAGGAACCCAAGGCCCCTGGTCAGTGAAGAAAACGAAAGAATGACTCTTAGGGGGTTACTTGTAGCAGACGTTGTAACTGGTTAGTCACTGTTCTTTCATCGAACCACAAGGTGGGAAACCCCAAAGAATGCTGATGGAAGAAGGCTGGGCTAGGTGTGTGTGTGTGTGTGTGTGTGTGTGTGTGTGTGTGCTGTTGCTGCTCTTGGTAAATCTAGAATACTCAAGCAGTCCTTAGCCTGTAACTCCCTATTAGATGGAAATCCTTAGGATTGGAACTGGTCATTGAGTGGCCTTACGTCCTGTGTATCCTACCAACAATAGCTGTCCACCTTTCGATCTATCCACCTCTGGGTTATGGGTCCAGCACGCTTCCACTTTTCCACTCTTACATTTGGCTTTTCAAGACTGGGTTTCTCTGTAGCGTTGGCAAGGCTGTCCTGAAATTCAGTAGACCAGGCTGGCCTTGAACTCAGAGAGATCCACCTGTCTCTGCCTCCCGAATGTTAGGATTAAAGGCATGCACCATCACCGCCCAGGCAATACAGATTTATTTTCTTATTTATTTATTTAAATTAGAAACAATCTTATTTTACATATCAATCCCAGTTCCCTCTCCCTCCCATCCTCCCATGCCCTCCACCTACCCCCCCAGCCACTCCCCAGGGAGGGGGAGGCCTGCCATGAGGGATCATCAAGATCTGTCATGTCATTTGGGGCAGGGCCTAGGCCCTCCCCTGTGTATCTAGGTTAAGAGAGTAACCCTCCATGGGGAATGGGCTCCTGCATTAGGGATACATCGTGGTTCCACTGCCAGAGGCCCCATAGACTGCCCAGGCCTCCTAGCTGACACCCACATTTAGAGGGCCTGGTTTGGTCCTATTTTGGTTCCCTAGCTGTCAGACTGGGGACCATGAATTCCCACTTGCTCAGGTCAGCTGTTTCTGTGGGTTTTCCCAGCGTCTTGACCCCTTTGTTTGACACTCCTCCCATTCTACAACTGGATTCCAGGAGTTTGGCTCAGTGCTTAGCTGTGGAACTCTGATTCTGCTTCCATCAGCTACTAGATGAAGGCTCTAGGCTGACATTTAAAGTAGTCATCATTCTCATTATAAGGGAAGGGCATTTAAGGTAGCCTCTCCACTATTGCTTATATTCCTAGCGGGGGTTACCCTTGTAGATCTCTGTACAATTCCCTAGTGCCAGATTTCTCTTTAAACCTATAATGGCTCCCTCTATTGATTTATCTCTCTTCTTGCTCTCCTCTATTCCTCTCCTGACTCAGTCTTTCCTGATCCCTCATGTTCTCCTCCCCCTCCTCTTCTCCCCTCCTCTTTCTCCTACCTCCCTTCCCCTTCCCCCCCATGCTCCCAATTTGTTCAGGAGCTCTTGTCCCTTTCCCCTTCACTGGGGGACCATGCACTCTTATTTATTTTTTTAATTTAATTTTATTTTTGGAGACAAGGTTTCGCTTATGTCGTGCTGCCTGGCTTGAACTCACTACACTGATCAGGCTGAACTTCAACTCTCAGAGAGCTGCCTTCCTCTGCCTCCTGAGTGTTGGCATTAAAGGTGTGCGCCACAGCTGACACTCGCAAGTGTCCTACATTTTTAAGATGGTGTTTGAAGAATTCAAATTCTCTTGTTTTAAAAGCTCTTTGTCTCCATGTAGGAGAGACAGAGCATGTGTGTGTCAGAGTTCAGGCGTGTGTGCGCGCACATGCGCCACCTCACACACGTGGAGATCAGAGCATAACCTCGGTGTGTGCCCTCACTGTCTCTCTTGGAGGCAACTTCCAGCGGTCCTCCTGTCTCCATCTCATATCTCCCTATAGAAACACTGGGATTACAAACGCACGCTAGAGAACCCAGCTTTAAATGGGTTCCAGATTCTGAACCTAGGTCCTCAATCTTCATGACAAGTATTTTATTTATTTTATTTTTATTCTGGTACTAGGGGTCTCACCCGGGGACTTGTGAATGCTCTAAATGCACTCTGCCAACTCACTCCCTGTGACCAGCTTCCAAATCTTGGTCTGAAGTAAGAAACAACCTCAGGCTAGACAGACCACTCACTGAAGGGGCTGCCTGTGGCTCTGGCAGGCCTTGTCTTTCTCCCCAATTCTCCCTGCCTTGCTAAAAACTTAGATTACATTCCTAAAGCTATTCCCTTTTTTGGCCACTTCCTCCTGAGGCTGACCAGCAGCTGTCAAAATATTGAAATCCAGCTATCAAAGTATTGAAATCCAGCAGTCAAAAACCCCCTTTGGCTCACCTAATTAACATGCCCAATTAAAATTAAACACCTCATCCTAAAGCGGAGTTTCCCCTTGTACCTTTATAAACTGCCATTTTCCTATGTGTATGGCTGTCTCCTCTCTATCCAGAGGCAGTCCTTTTTCCTCTGAGACAAATATACCCGTTCCCTTTTCCCCTTCTCCCTCTTCCTCTATCTTTGTCCCTTATCCCTACCTTCTGTCCCTCTGGGGAAAATAAATCTCCTTTGTGCTGAGAACTTGGTCTTAGGATTTGGTCTTGGGGGTCCTGAGCCAATATTTTCCCTTTTATTCACTGTTCACACCCCAGGAAACTCCTGTCTTGCTTAGTTCTCTACTTGGTCTTGGACCATGCCCTTTCAGCCCTTGTAACCCTGGTCCCCAAGGCTACTCTGGGATGTTCTACTTACTAATCAAGACTAGGTAAATTCTACCTCCCCAGGCTACCCAGCTTGAACAAGGCCCCCTTTCTTGGTGTTTGCAATTAAACCTTGTCAGTCTTTGTATTAAAGTTAAGTGTGTGTGAGTTCTGGATGACAGAGACTGTGTCCTTCAGGAGTGTTTGCTGAGTGGGATGCCAAGGTTTGGTGGGAAGAATAATTTAAAGACACACACCCCACACACACTTCAGTGGCCACAATGTGGCCAGATGACAGCCCCTTAGCCAGAAGGATGGCCAGGGCTGAAGAAGGAATAGAAAGCTGTGATGTCCCTACCACTCAATGCAGCTTCGAGTGGTGACAGCAATAGTTCCCCCAAGTTATTTTCTATCATACGGGGTGTTGAAAAACATTTTCTTTCACAGTTTCACTGTGGTTATGCCAATTTTGGTGGGTGCTCTCTCCTTTAGCATAGCCTAGTCTATGGGCACATGGTACATACCTGTCATGATCACGAAGATTTCTGGAAATGTGATGAAATTCCCCTTTTGTCTAAAGCCCTGGCTGATGTGGAATCCACAGAAGGAGGTAATTAACTTGGTCAGAAGCTGCAGCTTGTAAAACCTACGGTCTGAGCCGACTCTCGGCTCATTAAACCTGATGCTCTGCCAATCGATTTAAACATCTTCAGGAGACTGTTGCTAATCCCCCAGCAAAAAGCAGCACTGGCTAGCTGTGGGTAGTTGAGCCAGAGGAGCCAGTGATGGACTCTGAGGGTGGATGTGGCCGGCTGAGTGCTCACAGGGAGCCGGAGGAGAAGGCAGTGTGTGTGGTGTTTGCTTCCTAATTAAAAAGAAGCACAAATGACAAGCTGTTGTGATGTGGGCGGGTGCCTGAGAACATGGGTCATAGACCTTTCAGAGGAGATGCTAGGAATGTTCCAATTAGTACTGAAATCTCTCTCTCTCTCTCTCTCTCTCTCTCTCTCTCTCTCTCTCCCCCCAATGGCCTTGCTATGTAGCCCAGGCAAGCCCTCAAACTCATGTACTCCTGACTCAGCCTCCCAGATGCTGGGATTATAAGCGTGTGCCACAATGCCCAGCAAGTTTTGTTTTCTATCCATGGAGTCAGGGGAATTGAAAGAGAAATGAAGTCACAGGGATAGGTATCTTTATCTTTGTTTGTTCCTGATGTTTCATAAGGCTAACCAGAAGTGACTGCTCTAGCCCAAAGGCTTTTCCAAGAGGTAATCTTGTAGATTCAGTCTGCTTAGTCCTGTGACCAAGCTTACAGCAAGTTCCATAACCTGGGACAAAGTAACAGATGACTGGAAATCAGTCAGCCAACACTTTAGCTTGTGGAAATACCTGTATTTCCCAAGGTGTTAGGTCTGG